ATCAGCCCAGGGTCGAGCAGCCCAGGATCGAGCAGCGCAGGGTTTAGCCACTACCCCATGATCACGAGCAACAAGCCCAGTCCAATGATAGGCAAGTCAGAAGGGTGGAGGAGGAGGCGTCCTCCATAAGGACTGCCAACCCGCAGGCAAGAGACGAAACGCTGGAGCAGTTGTTGGCCCAGGTTCGTGATTTACAGGCCCGAGTCGAAGGGAGGAAAATTGGAGGCTCAAGGGGACACCCGTTCTCGCAGCACATCTTAGATGCCGACCTGCCACAAGGATTTCGTGATCTGAACATAAGTTATGACGGGTCGACCGATCCATCGCGTCACATGAGGAGTTTCGAGAACATGGCGGTTTTGCATCGCTATAATGACCCTGTGCAATGTCGAGCTTTCCTAACCACCTTGCGGGGATCTGCACAGGATTGGTTCTACCAACTACCAGCGGGAGACATCAAGGATTTTGAAGGATTCAGTGCGAGTTTTCTCAATCAATTCGCAAGTGTGAGACCGCAGGAGAAGTCGTATCTGACCTTAATGGGTATCCAGCAGAAGGAAGGTGAGTTGCTGCGAGATTATGTGGCAAGGTATACGCGAGCATGTGTCGAGGTGCCCAGGGCATCGGAGGAGATAAAGGCAGGAGGATTGACACGAGGGTTGCTACCGGGCTTGTGCAGGAATTCTCTGGCAAAGCGCCCAGGTAGAACGTTCGACGAAGTGCTGGGGAGATGCGCGAAGTATATGAATGTCGAGGAGGCGGAGATCGATTTCTCGCGAACAGCTAAAGAAAGCAGAGCTAACCCTCGGGAAGAAATAAGGGAGAAGAAAATTTCCTCGGCTGGGGAGAGAAAGGGGTCCCCGCGAGCAGAAAGAGAGGGGCGACCTAGGGGTTGGAGGCCGACTCAATACACCCCTTTGTCGGCCCCTCAAGCGCGAATTCTGGAAGTAATGGAAAAAGAAATTCATCACAATGTTGTCAGATGGCCCAAAACGAGAAAAGATGGACCAACGAGACCGAAGAGTAACCTATATTGTCGATTCCACAAAGACTATGGTCACAATACTGACGACTGCAGACACCTTAAAGATGAAATCGAAAGACTGATTAAGGCAGGACACTTGAAGGAATTCATATATAAGGATCGAGAAAAGTCGAACAGAAGAAGGGAAAGGAGCAGGAGCCCTCGCAAGAGGGCGAAAACACCAGAGAAAGAGGAGCTCCCACAGAAAAGGGGAACCATACATATGATATTTGGAGGACCAACTGATGGGGATTCGAATCGAGCAAGGAAGATGTATGCCCGAGGGCGTCATGGGAAAGGCGAGATACAACAAGTCGATGAGAACGAACCGGTAATAAACTTCGGCCCAGCAGATACGGGAGAAGTTGAGAGGCCTCAAAACGACGCATTGATGATAACGGCTCAAATATCGGGATATGAAGTGCAGAGAGTGTTCGTCGACACTTGGAGTTTTGTAAATGTGATTTTTTACGATTGTCTCAAAAGGATAGAGCTCGACATACAGCTCACACCCCTTCATACCTCACTATTCGGTTTCAATGGGTCAGAGGTCGCCCCCTAGGTGAAACCATGCTCGTTGTCGTTCTGGGAGAAGGTGACTTGCGGAAGGTGAAAATGGTGAGATTCGTGGTGGTTGATGTCGAGTCAGCTTACAATCTGATCCTGGGGAGGCCAGCATTTAACGCCTTCCAGGCGGTAGTATCGACTTACCATATGAAGCTAAAGTTCCCGGTCGGAGACCAAGTTGGGAAAGCTCGAGGCGATCAAAAGCTGTCGAGGACTTGTTATCAAATCGCTGTAAAAACCAACCAACGGGCCGAGGTTAAGGAGGGGAAGAAGCCAATGATGAGCGAGAAAAGGCCAAGGAATAGTGATCTCGAACCACACGGGGAGCTAATGGAAATACAAATCGGAGAAACAAAGGAACAGACCACTAAGATCGGGAAAGACTTAAAAGTCGAGCTACGGAACCAACTGATCGCACTACTAAAGGAGTTCAGGGATGTTTTCGCCTTCACCCCTGAGGAATTGACAGGGATCGACCCCGCTATTATGGAACACAAACTCAACGTCGACCCCCTCAGAAAACCAGTAAAACAGCGACTTAGACGTCATGGTGAGGAAATCGACAAAGCAATTGAAGTCGAGGTTGATAAGTTATTGCGGGCGGGGCATGTCAAAGAAATCCAATTTCCCGAGTGGATATCCAACACCGTGATGGTGAGAAAGGCGCTAAACAAATGGCTCATGTGCATCGATTTCCGTGACTTAAACTTGGCCTGCCCAAAAGATCATTATCCCCTACCACGAATTGATCAACTCGTCGACTCTACGGCCGGTTGCGAATTATTGAGTATGATGGATGCGTCTCAGGGATACCACCAGATCCCATTATGCCCAGAAGATCAAAGTAAGGTGAGCTTCGTGACGAGTAAAGGGACGTACTGCTACGTCGTCATGCCTTTTGGACTTAAGAATGCTGGGGCAACCTATCAACGGCTGATGGATCGAATGTTCAAAGCTCAGATCGGGCGAAATATCGAGGTATATGTGGACGATATCTTGGTAAAGAGTAGAGCCTCGACCTCACACCCAGACGACTTAAGGGAAACGTTCCAAACTCTTAGGGCGTTCGGGATGAAGCTGAACACAAACAAGTGTGCCTTTGGAGTAAAGGCAGGACGATTCCTGGGATATATCGTC